TGATTGGTTGTTTCCAGATAGCACTGAGAGAAGGAAGTGTAGCTCGATTTTTTTTCCACAGATAATCTGTGACAATTTCAACAAATATGTAAAAAATTATATATAGATTTTTTAAAATAAAAGTTACATATTGTAACTTTAGTGAAGCTGGTTATTAATAACTTAGGGAAATCATATCTGAGGGTGATGGCCCACTCAAGTCTTCATGTTTCTCTCTATCAAAAATTAAACATCATTAGATTACTCTATGTGTAATAAATGAAATGATAGGCATCGGCATAAATAAATTAAGTTGTTGTACTTCAAATTGTATATTTTTTTCTTTTTGTATATCAATAAAAGAATCTCCAGGTAATATTTGTATTAGATGGGCACGCCACAACATTAGGGGTGCTACAGTACACACAGCAGACTCAAACCAAATAATTACATAAAACGTCTGAACACGGAGCCAGTAGCGGGATCTCTGAATATTTCATAATACATCATTTGGTTATCTAGGGATAAGATCTTTCACGTGGATGTAAAACAATGCAGCAGTTTAACCCTAACAAGAATCTGCTTATTTCCTGGAGAAGTTATAAATAGAAAAAAATGTGACAGAATTTCTCAGCACACCTCCCAGAAAGTCCCCTGAAAAAAACCCCAAAAAAAGCACATTTCCTTTCCAGCAGCCTCATCTTTTCCTTTCTGCTCTTTATTTATTCATCGGCTCTAATGGGATATTGTGGAGCCACATCTCCATGCATTAATTATTTACGAAAAAATCTTTTTTTTTTTCCTTGAAGGTATACTCGTTTGTTTGGAATCTCGAAAATTATGAATCTGAGATTTGAATTGTTTACAGGAACGATTAGGAGGATCCATTTGTCATCTTGAGTGAGAAAACGATTACCTAAGTGAGAGAGAATAAAGCTGTGGGAGAGATGAGTGGGTCCTGCTGCTGACTGAGCAGGATGTACAGGAAATACCAGTTCCACCTTGAAACAACAAAGACATTCTTTGAGACGACAAAAAAAAAAAAAGGCCAAGGTGCATAGAGGTTAGGTACAAGCAAATCAACGAAACAAACTCCCAGGACTTACATGTGACATTTCAACTGTCACAGCTTCACCAGTTTAAGTCTGGCAGGTTCTGTTTACAATTCTCGGTCTGTCTGTTTCTGTGTGAGTTATACCAATCACTGTGCACGCTTTCTCCCGCCTTCCTCCTTGTCTATCTTGGCACCCTCTGCCTTTATTTCTCCTCAAAACAGATGGTTGGACATTCTTTGTTTCCCAACAAAAAGCGTGATGCGGTCAGAGCAGGGAGGACATGCAGGCGAGGTTTGGGAAATAGGAGGGGAGGAGGAGCAAAAGGAGGAAGAGAGAAAAACGGATAGGAGTGACGTCATGCAGAAGGGGAAATATGACTTCTTGTTTGCAGGCGTGTATGGGTCTGTTTGATAAGCTTTCCTGGACATGAAGCTCCTTGTAGGTTTATAAGTAACTTATTGAAGTTACTCATAACTTAAATAATGGGTGAATGACTGTAGTGTGAGTCACTTTGGGGTCCTCTGGACTTGATAAGGTGTTATACAAACCATTAACCATTTACCAAATAGTTCATACTTTGGAGATCAACAGAAGAGATTCTAGTGGGAGGGAATCCCTGGGATATTAAAGATAATAATTTAAAGATATCTGTGGTTGTATGTGGTGAATCACTTCTTATATGATTTCTAATAACTTGCAGTTACAACAAACATTCAGCCAGAGATTAAGAATCATCAACTTGAACCTTACAATTTTTCTCAGTTGCTCTGGTTCATTTTTCTGATCAGAATTAAAATTCTCACAGCTGTTTGTCCACAACATTGAGTCATTTGTGCTTCATAGTTTCACATACCTGTGGCAACAAATCGCAAATGCTTTGCATCAGTTGCTTTCATTTTAGTGACACTCATTGACATGAGTATTTGCTTTTAAGGAATGAACAATGCATTTTTCAGGTTCATAACTAAGTTTTGAAATTTGTAATGTTTTCAGAAATACACTTGCTGTCGTGTGAATATGATGTGAGAAATGCATCAAAAAACGACTAAAAACCTGTAAAATCAACTGCTACTTATTACTGCCCTCTAGTGGTGGTAGTTCAACGTGTTTTCTGTTAAACCACAGCAAAATCTTTTCTAAGAGCTCACTGGTGTTATTCTGGCAAATATTTCCACTCACGTCATCTTCAATGTTGGCCGAACACAAACTTACAGAGTTCAAAGGTGAGGAGAACAAAAATCTGGAGGAAAATATGACCTATCATTCCCCACCTAAAAGACTTTGAAACAAACAGGAGCATGAATGAATAGATAGCTCAGACTAGAAGACATCATTTAAGGGATAATCTAAATATCTTTGCTACTTTTGCAAGAACTGCACATATTTGCATGAACCTACTTTTGTTAAAAGAACCTTTTTAGTAAATGGTTGTTAATTTGGAGTAGTAAGTTGGAAATTAATCAGTTATGCATCATAACAAAAAAAAAAAGACTATGGTCATAAGACTGGGAGTGAGTGTAATTAGTAGTTATGAAATATAAAGGTTACAGAAAGATCAGTGAAAAACACTGTCCACTGGTAAACAGAAAAAAACCCAGACATATATTATAGAACATTAAAGAATAGACACCACCCGCCTGAACTACAGTGCATTCATCATAGAAGCACAAAAAAGACATTTTTACTCTGAAGAGCGTGTAAGGAGACACAGCTCAAGTGGGAAAATGTGTTGACTGTAAAACACACTCCACAAATCCAGGGTGGAGAGAGGATGAGAAGAAGGGTGGAGCTAAATGCAGGATCACTCTGGAAGAAAACCTGTTAGAGGCAGCTAAACTTGTGACTGTGTCAGAGGTTCACCCGACCCTGAGTTAGCAACCTGTTACATACAACAGGAGACTAGATTTGAAACATTTGACTGGGAAAGTGGCCCAGTCAAACTTTAGACTCCAATCATATTGAATATGTGGCTTAAAGAATAAAAAATGCTTTTCAAATATACCACTTAACATGAGCTGTTAAGCAATGAACAGATAGATAGATAGATAGATAGATAGATAGATAGATAGATAGATAGATAGATAGATAGATAGATAGATAGATAGATAGATAGATAGATAGATAGATAGATAGATAGATAGATAGATAGTAGATAGATAGATAGATAGATAGATAGATAGATAGATAGATAGATAGATAGATAGATAGATAGATAGATAGATAGATAGATAGATGATAGATAGATAGATAGATAGATAGATAGATAGATAGATAGATAGATAGATAGATAGATAGATAGATAGATAGATAGATAGATAGATAGATAGATAGATAGATAGATAGATAGATAGATAGATAGATAGATAGATAGATAGATAGATAGATAGATAGATAGATAGATAGATAGATAGATAGATAGATAGATAGATAGATAGATAGATAGATAGATAGGCTCTTTTCAAATCATTTTCTTTTCAAAAGAATTCATTCTGTGATTTTTCAACTCAGCATGTCCTTGGTTTCATTGAAAGGCATATTGACGAAGAAAACCTCATGTTCTGGCTTCTGTGCTGCACTGACAAAGAGCTTGGTAATGTCCTTCAGCATCCATTGTGCTGTCCTCACTCTACCATGTCTATGTTTTCATTCATTTTTGTTCTTTTATATAAGTGCAGCCCCCTCAGTAAGAAAGTTGGAACACTTTGTCAACCGAAATGAAGAATTTAAAAGTTCTCTTAAAATAAGTTCTTGTGGAGGCCAAACAAAGCTCATCTTCCAGCCTATGGAAGAGAGATAACATCAAGCTCGCCTGAGGAACACGTTTCCAACTGCATTCATCAATAGGATGTATAACTTGCTCGTGTCTGAACACTTTTATTGATGATCAGTGTGGGAGGGTTTTCAAATGACAGCTATATTTTGCCAAGCAGATGCACAACTTTAACAGAAAGATCCCTTTCAAATTCTGTGCCCATTACAACGGAGAGTGCAGGAAAAGAGTGTGTGTGGGTGGTAATCTTGCATGGAGTCCAAACTCTTGAAGCTTGATTGTTTCAAATCAATGCAAGAATTTCAAGGCAATTCAAGGATGTCTCAGTTTACAAAGCAATTCGTGAGTGGTGATGTTAATATTAAGTTTTATTAGGTTATCCTGCTTGAATGAGACAATGAATAAAAGCAAGTTTGCTGCACCAGTTTACAGAAGTTTAGGCTTTGGTTTTATACAGTGGTAAAATCCTCCATCATAAAATTCTGGGAGTACTGCAGAGGAATCGTTTTTCCCCAGGCTGTGTGAATCACAGAGCAGGGAGTGTGCTTTAGAGCTAGTCGTGACACTATAATGTAATGTAATATAATATAAGGGGGGGGAGGACTTCCACAGAAACAGAACTGGAAATCTATACATCTTCCCTGGTGCTGTTATTGCAGGGTGTGCTGTATGTGTTCAAAATTGTCAATGTATTAGTCTGTTATGTTTTCTCACAGTGAAATGCAGTAACCATGTGGAGAGAAAAAACTGATATGAAAGCAAATTATGTTTGTTACTAAATCACGACTGCAGGAAATTACATGAGAACATTGTTAATCACTCTGAGCACTCCACAATCCACAGTGACATTTCCGCAGGGATTTGGGGATATCAGAGTGCTCTGCATCCATTAGCCTATAAACTATCCATTTATCCATCATGAGAGAGGAAACTGAAAAAAGATAGAGTGCGTCTAATTATAGGACTGGAAGATACCCTTCATCTTCCAGTGTTTTTCTCAGAACATATTGTTCAAATGCATCATTTTAACTTGATTTTAATCACATTGAAGCAAATGTACAGCAGGTAATGTATTCATCTATATTTCTAGATGAATCTAGACTTTTTTCCAAAGAGAAATATATATATATATATATTTTTTTTTATTGGACATTATGCAAGTGCCTCATGCTTCTATAAAAGGCATACTTTCTGAGCCAGAGCGATGACGCAGAGACTGCATGAGCTCTCAGCAGGAGTATAAGAGACAGCACTCAGCTCGGTTGCGGAGCATACATAAAGGGGGGAGAGGAACCGATCGCTGATTCGACCCAAAGCTTCTCGGTGGCAAGAGCAAAAGGGATGAACACAACTGAGAAGTTCTACCTTCCCGTTGATGGCATCCTCGAAGTGTTCAACTCTTTCACCGGGCATCAGCATTCACGAATTGGGCACCAAGTACTGCAGAGTGCAGCTCTCATCCCGCGATCCCAGCTCCCCAAAGTCTCCAACAGAATCAAAACGGGGATGGGCATCATCAAAACTGTCAAAGGCTGCTGGAGACGGCAGGATAAGAGAGTGATCTCCCGCAGATCCTCAAGTTCTGGGCGTCGGCAGGTGTCGATTGATCGAGTACCCAAAAAGCCGACGGACCTGACAGAGTTGGGTGCGACCAAGTCGAAGAACTGTCACAGAGTAGTGGTGCTCGGGGCTCCCAAAGTGGGTAAAACCAACATCCTCCGGCGGTTCTTAGGGGAAAACTATGAAGAACACTATGAGCCAACTGTCGAGGACTTTTATCGTAAGATGTTCCACATAGGAGGGGAAACATATCAGGTTGATCTGCTGGATGCGGCATCTGAGAAAGACTTTCCAGCCAAACGGAGATTGTCCATACTGACAGGTAAGGACACTTTATGGCTTAGTTTTACCAAGAAAAAGAGTCGATGTCCTTAAACTGAATTTGTCTCTGCAGGTGATATTTTTCTCCTGGTCTTCAGCTTGGACGACAGAGAGTCTTTGAATGAAGTCCGTGAGCTGCTCGACGAAATTAAAGCCGCAAAGGCAAAACTCCAAAAGTCCAGCCACCCAGCAAGGGTGCCAGTCGTGGTGTGCGCCAACAAAGCAGACCTGGACGCACAGAGAGTTCTGAGCAACTCCGAGGTGGTGGACATCCTGGGCGAGGACGCGCAGTCCTTCGAAACCTCCGCTAAAACCGGCGCCGGTCTGGAGGATGTCTTCGAGGCTCTCGCAGCTCTCGGCGGTCTGCCCGACGAGACCAGCCCGTCGCGGCATCAGATCATCCCCATGCTGACCTACCAGACGCTGTGCGCGGGCAAACGGGGCATCAGGATGAGGAGACACTCCCGGGGACTCGGCGCACCCTGCGCCGCCGTGGACCCCCTTGCGCGCCGCCCGAGCTTCACCAGCGACCTGCGGCTGGTGCTTGGATCAAGCACCCAACACAAGAAACCCGAGAAGCGTCAGGTTCAATGAATTATGAAACTTCTCAACAAAACAAAATTGTAGTAGTATGCTGCAATGTCATACAATGTAAGGAGTTATACTCTGTAGCACCTGGCCGGACCGGTGCAACTAATTTAGATTGTTTTTTTTTTTTGTATTCTGTAATTGCATCCTTTATTAAAAGTTTGTTTAAAATGTCGTGCTTGAATTTTTTTCTCCCTTTCCTCTCAGTGATCAAATATTCTGTCGATTACGATGAGCATGTGAAAATGATTTACGCAAGCTCACTTGATGGTTGTAAAAAAAACCTGGAGCGTGGGATGGAGACCATCTGCGAGAGAGAGGATGACTCAAAGCGATCTTCAAGAGTCTCCAATCAGACACGAGAGGTTGTTCACATTTCGGAGCGCCCACGACGCTCGGGGTTGGCAGCGAGCCTTACAATGTGTCAGGAGCGATCCTGCTTCATCAGCTCCGGTAGTTTACACACATCTGAATCACGTTGTATTTTAGGAAACAAACCCTTACGGTGATGGTTTTGAGGAGGAGGAGAGGGCGAATGATAAGAGAAGAGCTGCAATGAGATCAGCACCATGGAGAGAGCCAGAGGGCAACTTATCCACTCGTTTCACACTCAGTAATATTCCTTAGATCCTGCTATTACTTTTTAAGTCACTTTTAACATTTCAATCACTTTTCCTTTCATACTGTTAAATAAACAAACCAATAACATTTGTGAGATGGAGACGTAATTCTGGAATTTATCGAAAAACGTATATATTTTCTTGCACAAAAGCTGCACCATTACATAATCTCTGGAAAAAAAAACATGTTTAAAAATATAAATCAGTATATAAATGCCAACAATTAAATAATAAACAGAATCACAGATTTGGTGCCTTGGAAAATATTAATGTCCATGCATAGAACACCGGAGTGGAGTTCTATGCATAATAAAACATTTTTGAGATAAAAAAAAAAAAAAAAAAAACAGTAAAAGGAGTGTTTTCAATTTCCTCACAATTTTACTTTCCAAATACATACATTTACAAAAACCAGTAGTTAATTTTCTAGTGTATGTCCAGTTAGATTTGACAAAGAGCATCAATGATCATGAATGTTCAATGATCAAAATCCATCAATCCATCATAAAACATAAACAGTTTTATGTTTAAGTAAAACATTTGTTATTTCTCACCAGGTTTCTGCATTCATTTTAATTCTGTAATAAATAGAATGCTCTATCAAAAAAGGGGGGGAAAAATCACAAAACTATTCACAAACGTTTTTGGATGTTATGTGACAAAGTGTAAAATCTTGAAGGTTGTCTATACTTCTACAAGGCATCATAGTATATAAATGTAGCATAAAAATAGAAAGTATTGTTTTTAACCAATCTAAGTTTATTGTATAGTACTCCAGGCACTGCAATTAAAAATAAAAGTGAAACTGAAAGTATTTTCTCCACCAGTATAATAAAGCAGCAAATATTACAAAAATTGTGTAAAATTAAACCATATTGTTGTTGTATTTAAAATAACCTTTAAAAGACTACAAGAGAAGAACTGAGGATATAAAACACACTTTTTGAACTGACATCTAATATCCTGCTAAATCTGCACAGAGGGTTACAAAAGATTATTCATTAAAAAAACATAAAGCAGAAGAAAAATATTTGAGTATTTCTGAAAAAATACAAAAAACATATTGTATCAAATCTGACATACTTTTTAAACAAATAAATAATTTATTCTTTTACACATAACTGTCTTGTTTAGACAATTCAACGAGTGGCGCAAATTCTCTTTTTTTGTTTTAAATGGTTGCGATTTAAAGAGTTATAGATCTTCATTGTCAGTTAGCTGCCAGTTTTTGGAAAAAAATTCTATCCAGTTCCATCAGCAAAACAGGAAGCATGCTGTCCAATAAGGCCAGACCATCCCAGGAGCATCTCAAACCCCTAATAAGAAGGAATAATGAACAAAGTGTCTGGGTCAGTGTTTGCTTAATTAATTGTGCCAAACAAAAATATGCCAGATCTAGCTTCATATAGATTGCAACTGCATGTGTTTACAAGTAAACATGACAGTAGAAAAGCAACGTCATGAAATCACCTGTCGTCAAGAATAAGCAGTCCCCTCTGCAGCAGCTCTTGGACAGCAAGAGATCCACCAAATATTTCAAGAAGACTTAATTCAGGGCTAAACAGCTCCCAGTGCTTTAAAAAGGCAGAAAATTGTGACAAATATGTTCAGATTTTATAAAAACTTCTCACTACTCAACATTCTCCTCAATGACAGAGGCATTCACACAGAAAGTAAAGTCTATTGTGTGAGCTTCACCTTGTGATTAATGCCCTTGGTCATTCTCATTCCCATCACTAACGCCTCCTCTAATCTGCAAAACAAAAATCATTCAGAATTAACAAGGACAGGTCTCAATATAGCTTCTTCTAACATGGACAGAATGTTTCAGAGTTGAAGCACATGCATACACAGAGACCTTGAAACCCTGCCACTCACACAGCTTGTGAACTAAGCGTCACATTTTCACATGGCCAGAGAGTTTTGGGAAACTGCAACAATGTGTCATCTCGTGTGATGACCAGAAATAATCATGGCAAGACACAACACTACTGCCTGTAAGTGTAACAACTCACAGTTCAAGATGGTCCAGCTGGATCCGCCTCCTTGTCCCATGTCCTCGCTGCTGGACTTCGCGGATCCACACATCTGGCTCCAGGGTCTGTGTCCGGGCCTCACGGGTAACGCCTCCCTCCCCCAGGGGAACAAAACGTCCATGTGCTCCTGTTCCACAGCGCATGCAAATAAGATTGCAAAAGGACAACCAACATCCACCAGCGGTTCTGACCTCATTTAAATTACCAGGGCCAACACCGATGTACTGTTTCCCCATCCAGTAGCTCAGGTTGTGACGACTCTCTGAATTCTGTGCAACACAAAAGACGAGTGTTATGACTGTGAGCAGTGGCACAGAACAAACTTCATCTCACTAATCAATAGAACATCTCTAATTGTCAAACACTCTGATTTTGACCCAATTTTGCTATTTTTTTAATGCTAACTAAATATCATGCAAGTTTGCTAATCAACACAGCGAAACAAGTAACCAGTAACTTTAATTAAGGGTTTTAATTTGTTGTGAGCTAAGTTATTAAGTTAACAGCAATAAACAATTAAAACATTTAATTTTAATATGAAAAATTTACATAAGTTTTACTTTTTCAATTGAGTTACTGAAGTAAATACATTCTTTTATGATATTCTAATTTATTCAGGTGGAGCTTTATGGTTCTTTTCCCAGATAAACAAAAGAAAACTTTTTTTTCTTGCCATTTGTGATTACTCTTTGAAACAGATTCAGAGAGTAATTTTATTCAGAATAGACAGTAACTGCATGTATTTTGACATACAAAAACTAAAAGAAAAAAAAAAGTAAGTCTTAATGAGATATTTTCTGAAATACATTGGTGATTTTAATCTGATACCTGGTCTTTTTAATGCACATTTTCAACATATTTTAACACTACTTTGGAACCATGAAACATCAAACTAAAAACTTGCAGTTTTACAAAGGGAAAATGATTAATGTTATTCACTCAACATGGGAATTCAACAGCTCATCATTGTGCATAAGTTTAGCACATTGGTATTTGTAATTTTATGCAGAATGAGACTTCACATGATCAGATGTTAGTTGGATGAAATATATTGCTAAACGGATTTATGATTACTTTGTATAAGTTATTTACACAGACCTCTGAACTGTGCACTAATGTGCTGGTATATAAATGTTGAATTATCCTTCATACATAGAAGAAGTATATTTAACTAAATATTAAAGGTAAATAACAAGTATAATTTTATTACCTATGTTGCCTTTAAACTGTGTTTAAGTTCATCTAAGTCTTAAAATCCTTAATTTATTGATAATATGAGGCTGTTTATGACACACTTACATTTTTAGCAAAATTAGACACTTCATACTGCTGAAAGCCGTGCTGCTGGAGAGTTGTTCTGGCACACTGGTACATCTCTGCTGTTATTTCCTCTGTGGGCATAGTTACTTGTCCTGACTGAACCTGCTTAAACAGCTGAGTACCTCTCTCAAGGGTCAGCTGGTACAGAGACACATGGTCATCACACACACTCAGCATCTCAGACAACTCTCTACTCCACAATTTGGTTGTTTGGTTGGGGCGTCCGAACATAAAATCCACCGACACCCCACCTGGACACAGCTTCCTGGCCTCTGCTAGAGTCTGCAAAGCATCCAGGGAGTTGTGGTCTCTTCCCAAACTTTTCAGATCCTTGTCCTGCAGAGACTGTGGGAATAACAGTGTGTTATAAGCAGTAGCTGGACAGAATTTTCTGTCCCTTCATTTCTGTTTACCTGGACGCCAATGGAGAAACGGTTCACCCCAACATGGTGGTAGTCTTTTAACTTTGACATTCCCACGGGGGTAGGGTTTACCTCCAGCGTGACTTCAGCTTCATCTGAGAGATTCACCTGCTTTGAAACCGTTTCAAGGATCTTAGCGATGGTTGATGGGTGAGCCAGGCTTGGAGTCCCACCACCAAAAAAAACAGATGTGATGCTGCAAGTCAAAACCAAAGGATTGCAAAGGTGTTTACAGGGCAAAAGTATTTATATCTCTTAAAATTCTTCAGACATTAACATAATCAGTTCACAATCTTCTGTGTATTTTTTAAGGGCTTTATGATAGATCAACATAAAGTGGACAATAAATGTAATGTTGAAGGAAACTGATTATATGCTTTGCTAAATTGTTTTTACATTTCTCTGAAATCTGGTCTTCATAGAAAAGTGGAAAAAACGTTGGTCAGAGTTGATTGAAGGATGGAATGATTTTGAGTGCTGACAAGCCTTGGGATTGTGGCTGATGTCCACTTAGATCAAAGCATATTCAAGAGACAAAAAGCCCACTCAAAGACCACACTTTTGGTTAAATTAATCATTTGTGGCAAAATTTGAAAATTGATGTACAAAGATTGTCTCAATTGAATGAATAGTTTTGGTATCAATAGAATTACAAAAAGATTTACAACTGGTGATTCTACAAAGTATTAATTCAGGAAACTGATTTATAAACAAACCATTATCCCTCCACTCCACAAATATGCTCTACTTTGTGTTGCATGACTTAAAATTCCAGAAAATTGCAATGAAGTTTGTCAGTTAAGTTTCCAATATATAAAAAGTTGAAGGGGTATCTATATCTCTGCACTGCATTTGTGGTAACCTGCATGCAGGATGGAACCCAACAGCGACTTGAATGAATGAACATACCAGGACACTTGACTGAGCTGCAGCAATGTCTCAGTTTCCCTCTGAAGACACTTTGCCATGATGTCTTCATTGTTCTCTTTGGGTATATATTTGTTAAAATTGCAGTAGGTGCACCGTCGGAGACAATAGGGCCACTAAGGGAGGGAGAAAAGAAAGCAAAGTATACATAATATATGCATTAAAAGTAGAATACTTTAAAATTGGAAAAGTTTATTTTAGAGAAGAGGCTACTGCTACCACTAGTGGGGAGGGGGGCTGTGCACTGCCAATGTTTGTGCTAATCTTAATGCACTGCCTTCTAATTTTTATTTTGCAAAACTAAAAATCAGCTGTTTACTTTGTGCCACTTCCTTGCCAGAAAACGTGCTCAGCTCTTAGCAAAGATTGATAACAAATATTGTTATTCTTCAAAAGACATGAGATTTCTTCTGCTCTTTTGAAATATTACTTACTACTCACGACTAAACAAGAATTGTGCCTTTGGTGAGTTTGGCAGAAAAGTGAAAATGTTTTTTATTGTCATTGGTGGTACATATATTATAAAACAGACACTCAACACAAAAGTAAAAATCTGATTTATACACCATTTCGATTCGTTACAATTAAAACCCCCCACTAATCTCTTAACACCAAATGGATAACAAGTAATATTGTTTGTAAAGCATAAGCAACAGATTAACAACAAATATTATTATTGTTCAAAAGTCATTAGATTTCTCCTGATTGTTCTATTGCTATGGCAATTAATCCTCTCTGAAAACTGTCATGTGAGACACAGAGGCTGACACGAATAACTAAGTCGGCTAAAGGAAAAGATGTAGCTTACGTGCACATATAAGGACGCCTGTTCAGTGAGACGAGGGGAAGCTGGACTCTCAGGCACATGTTCGGTCACTTTCAGGTCAGAAAAGCGACGCAGCCCCGGCGAGAAGCCGCAACGGGCTTTACGGAACATGTATGTTATCATCCTGCTGACACACTGAGCTGTCTGATCACAACATCCCGCAACGTTGATTTACAACACTTTATGACATCCATGTCACAAATAATCAACACAAACATGCCTTTCCGTCCATTGTTTTAGAGGATGTGACGTCTGTCTAAACAGGACATACGTCAAATAAAGTCCTTTTGGTATGTTCTGCAATTTTACCGCATGGAGGCGCTATTTTACCAGAACAAAGCTTATTTATGAATGCAAATAACCATCCTTTAATGTAGGGTCGATTTGTCGATCTGAATTCACGCTTTCTTTCTCCTGCTGTGCCTCATGTTTTATCCTGACTGTTTTAATATGTAACTCCATTTATTTCTTTTGTTAAAAAAAATACTAGTTTTAGTATTAAACCCAATTATTTGATCTTATATGAGATAACAATTTAAACTGCACATTTTATTTATTTATTTTTATTTTGTTTTGAATTTAAGGTTGGATTTTCCAACAACATGTATCAAGGTATTCCTTATGCCTTCAAAAAAGAAGGTACTTGTTTACCAAGTAGTCAGACATGACTTCTATAGATGCCACAAAAGTGCTTTATGTTCATTAGATGTTAGATATTTTTTAGATTTTAGACATTTATTTTAATTTAGAACAAATGTTGGCTGCATTATAAAACATCTAACTAAATGTTTTAGTTAGATGTTTGAAACAGAAACTGAAATACATACTGTTGCATTGATGGCCAATTTATTTTTGCTAAGTAAGTAGTTTTTTTTTATGTACATAAAAATATTGCAACATTTACTAAGTTGCTGGTTTCACTTTATTGGAATTTTCAAGCATCAGCTGGTCCCAGGTTAAAATCAAACCATTGATATCATTACAGAAAAAAGATGAATAATTAAACAAAAAAACTGCTTTTAAAAAATATAATAATAATAATAATAATAATAATAATAATAATAATAATAATAATAATAATAATAATAATAATAATAATAATAATAATAAATATTCCTAAACTCTGTGGCATACCATATGATTTCCACCACATGATACAAAACAGGAAAATGTATTAGATAATTAAACAAAGATTTTTATTTGACACGTCAATAAATGTGGATGAGCTCACTGTTGGTTTCTGACCCTGAGGATATTTTCCAGCCAATATCAAATCTGATACCCAACAGAGGCAGACCAAAACAGGCAAGAACAAAGGACCCAGATACATTTTCACTCCGCACAAGATCATGTTCATTTAAACCACCTTAAGAGAATGAATAAGACTCAAATGGATAAAAGAAAGAAAGGTAAGGCTTTACATTTAATACTGTAGAAATGCAGATGAAACTAGATGTTTGGTTTTAGTATTAGGAAAGAGATTGAACTTAACATTTTTCTACTTATTTCTTTAGAACTGTTTAAATTCATAGCTAAAACTAAAATTCAGGGCATTATTTTAAGCTATATGAAATATCAGACTTCTATCTTGACAGGATCTCCAAAGGAACTGAGGCTTATGGTGGTTGGTAGCAGTGGACCCTCTCAGTTCCAACTAACCAATGCTATTCTTGGAAAGGAGGTTTTTTCAAAAGATGTTATCAGTATTTCTGCAAGTGTGAAGAACAAGGGAGAGCTGTCTGGTCGACCAGTAGCAGTAGTCAACGGACCAAACATGTATGACAAGGATATAACTCATGTAAAGAGGAAGATGGAGCTCAGGAGGTCTAAGTGTTTAGTTATACCTGGTCCCCATGCCTTTCTTGTTGCCTTTGACATTGAGAAAATCTCCCCAAATGACATGAAAACTCCTTGGCTGCTAAAAAGACGCTTTGGAGCAAACTGCCTGAAACACTGCATGGTTCTCTTTGCCTATGAAGGAAATTTGGATGGAGCTTCTCTGGAAAACAGGGTGAAGAAGACTGAATGGTATCTGAGAGAACTGATTGAGAAGTACGGCGGGCGCTTTCATGTTTTCAAGAAAAACTGGAGAGATCGAAGCCAGGACAAGGAGTTTCTGCGAAAGATTGAGTTGATGGTGGCTTCGTTGGGAGGGGGACACTTCTCCAGCAGAACTTTCCAAATGGCAGAGGACAGCGTGAGGAAGGAGGAGAAAAGGCTCAGGAAACAGAAGGCAGAGGAGATTGACCGTACATGGAATGAGATGGAGAAGCAATACATGTCAGAGGAGCTGTGTTTTCAGAAGGATGCCTACATCGCCAATGTACGTGCAGAGATTCAGGCTAAGGCAGAGCTTGATAACGGTTGGCTTAGAACATCCCTGGCCAGAGGGCTGGGGACTGGCTTAGTTGTGGGGGCTGTGATTGGTGCACTTTTTGGATCTATTGAGGGGGCGGGAGGAATGGTTCTTTATGGTGTTATAGGTGGGGCAGTTGGTGGATCTGCAGGCGGAACTGCTCATGTGGCAATCAAGCATATGGAGAACAGAGTTGCCCCACCAGCTAGACTCAATTTTAATTCTATCTTCATAAACCGTTTCTTTGCAGTTCCTCGTACATGACAGAATGATTGCTTCATTTTTCCTATTTGTGCTAAAGTTGAAACACATGGAGTCATTTCTCATTCATCATGTTTTGTTTTGATTGAGTCTTTCTTCCGATGCCTCAGTGTGTTTAAGCGTTTTTTTTTTTTTTTTTACCTATTTTGAAAGTCTTTGAAAGGTATTTCTTACAACATTGATTGCTTTTCACTTAGTTTTCACAGGTTTGACAGGCAACTGTGGGTCCATATAACATTCCACTTCATGCCCACCATGGAGGATTTGTGATGCTGTGGGCTTGTTTGTCTTCCACAATGACTTACAATCTTGTGTGCATGGCATCATGAACTCTTTAAATAGATTTCACTTCCGTGTCCTCCAGCATAAATTAAATCAAACCATAATGATCCAAACATAGAGATATCTGGACCTATGTGAACATAGGGATATGAAAGATCTGAACAATACTGTAAAGAGGAATGAAAATGTTGATTTTGTTGAACAATTATTTTTCAATTTTAATATGTCTGTAATAAGAAAAAAAGATATGCATTCAAATAAAGTGTTGAATGTTTCAATTTTTTTCGAATTAAGTTTATCTGATTGCAATAAATGTTATATTTGTTTTAAGGCTTTTCATAAAAAAAGATGCATTTTTTATTTAGATATTTCAAGAATTTGTTGGTGGTATCTAAATTTAAAATATTGTGGTGAATAAAAATTATTCAAATCTGATAAAACAGTATATTGTTTGCTGTTGATTTGTGAAAACCCAGCATATTGTACCACCTTCCCTCCCTTGCCGTGCAATGAGTTAAGGAACGGCTCAGTACATAAAGGGTGGAGTTAAAGCTTGCTCATGTTTGCCATTCCCTACAAAGACCTGCCCATTCTCCTTGATAACACTCATAGCTGAACACACCTGTTCAGAACAAAAAGGTGCAGTATTCTTCTGTTCTTACCTGAATTTAACAAAGTTTCTCTGGAAAGTTTGCTTTGTGGAAAAGACAGAGTGCGGAAGGTAAGACTACATTAATGTCATGAATTTTTAAGATTGTTTTCTTTTATCTAAAAAGTAGACTATATGATCCTTTATGTAAGTTCTCTGAGCTTTTTATGAGCCTCTTATATAACAAGGGATTACTTTGTTATCACAGGGTAATAAAACAGGGAGAGAGTACTCAAAGAAAGTTAAAACAGAATTCTAGGAGTTTCAGTTTTACAGGGAAGCTAATATCTTTGGTAGTTACCTGCTTGACTACATACTTTTCTGCTTCCGTTCTCAGTTAATCTATCTGAACCAAGATCACAGAGAACGCGAATACCATTGGGAGTGACAATGAGCACCAAGGAAGAGAAGACAGTCGAAAGGGTATGCTTCAGCTCAACACGTAAAACCCAAAATCATATTCTTCATTTATGCTCTCAATCCCTCTGAGCTTACGGGATATCTTGCTTACTCATCTTGAAATACTGCAGAGCATGTTCCCATTTCTGACTAATTACTTCTGATTTGGCATTGTCCCAAAAGAGAAAAAATGTGCTTTAGGATAATTAAATACATTGAAAAATAAGACATATGGGTTCACAGAGTAACCAATTTACAGTTGTGAAAATATACATTTTTTAAAATATTGTACCTTATTTGTAGTCAAACATTTTTTCATTCTTTGCAGACGACGGATTCTTCCATCGGCCTCCTCCCAGAGAGGCACTTTTTGTGCCTACTCTGCAAAGACATCTTCACCAACCCAGTGACCATCCCATGTGGACACAGCTTCTGCTTGTCTTGTCTCAGCCAGTTCTGGACTCAACACCAATCCAAATACTGCCCTGACTGTAGAAGATTGTTTGCCAAAACGCCCGACCTCAGTGTCAACCATATTTTGGCAGATATTTCCGAAAATTATAGAACAGCACGACCTCAGAAACCGCCGGAAGAAGAGAAGGTACTATTTTTGCTAATGTTACACATTGATTAGTCCAAAACGTCCAAGTGTACAGAAATGTGAGAAAGTACTTGCCTCATCACAATTATCTTGTGTTTCTGCTTTCTTGTGTTTCTGCTTTGTTTGTGAAACTTAAATATTTTCTACTAACCTTATTCATCACGAAAGAAAAGCTATATCTATCTGGGTATATGTTAAAAAAGTTACTAATCCTTAAACTTAATATTGGGTTCTTCCACTCTGTAATTTATTGATTTTACAGGTCTGGCAGTGATCAGACATTGTTATAAGTTGTGGAAAATGTGGTTAATCACAGTTAATTTATGATTTACAAAGTGGGCAATTATTTGTTTTTACATAGAAACAGGTTGGTTTGAATGCCCCGTAATAAATACAACCATGATTTGAAAACTAAAGTTCGTATTTTCTCAGGTTAATTTTCTTTAATAATAAGAAGGATTTTAAAAAATACACTGTATTGCTAAAGTTGTTGTTGTTTGACCACAGGTTATAGACATTAAGCAAATGATCAAGAATAGGCTGCAGAAGATAGATAGGCTAAAATATTCTCTGGATGTCCAAAAGGTAAGTTAAAACTTTAGCATGAAAAACACCAATTCAATACATCAATAGTTCAATAATTTAATGAGTCCTCCATGTTGTTGTTTTTTTTTCAATCAGAGTTCTTACCTGCGTGAGGTGCGCGAGAGT